TTACCACACACACACACTCGCCCCACGTACTGTGGGCGGCACAAATCCTGTTTCCAGGCTACTGAGGCAGACATGACAGAGGCGGGGATACTCAGCGCCACAGTGACTGGGTAAGGGACAATCACACAGCCACTGCCAGGACAAGCAGAGCCAGTCCTAGACTCTGGCTAAAACTAAAGGGCGAGGGAGAGATGTGTCGGCCTGCTTTGCTAGGTTAGTAGATGTTGGCCTGGGGCTTCCCGAGGCTGTCTGCACCAAAACAGGACACAGTGCCTAAGGTCGAGGCTGTCAGAGGGGAAAAGCAGCACAGGTGCACCTGGCTTCAGCCCTGCTTGAAGCCCTTTGCTACTGGGCTTCCCAATCTATGAGCCAATAATCGTCCTTCTTTGCTTAAAACTCTGGGTTTCTGTCACTTGCAACTAAGAGTCCTGACCAATGTATTATGTGAAGTTCTATACAAATGAGAAGAAATCCAGCAAGTTCAACAGTTTTCTTCTAAATCTAGCACCTCAAGATCATTTTGGAAAAAAAAAAAAAGATCATTTTGGAACCCACTGTATTAAGAAAACAGAAAGCATTTGACTCAAACAGGAGGCCTGGGTTCAAATTCTGGCTCAAAGCTGCTTGTGGTGGCACATAACAATCCTAGCTCTCTGGAGGCTGAGGCAGGAGGATCACTGCAAGTTTGAGGCCAGCCTGAGCTACACAGCAAGTCCCTGTCTCAAACAAACAAACAAACACAAACTACTACTAATGATAATTCTGGCTCCATGATTTCCAAGATGCTTAACATGTCAGTTTCAATCCCCTATCTGTAAAACAGAGGACTGTTGTTTAGTTGACATGAGACCATCCATGTGTCACTTAGTTTGCTGTCAGTTGTTGTCATCATCATCAGCCTTTGTTCTTTGTTTTGTAAATAAAAAAACTGAAGTTGGGCACAGTGGCCCAAGCCTTTAATCCTAGATCTCTGGGAGGCAGAGGCAGGAGGATGGCAAGGTCAAGACACTCAAGCTTAGAGAGATGACTGGCCTCAGTATTAGGTAGTGGCAGAGCTAGGACCTGAACCCATGAATCTTGCTTCCTGGTCCAGTGTTTTCACACCACCTGCTTCTAAAGAAAAAAGCCCACACTGGGTGTGGTGCACCACCAAGCTCATAATCCCAGCGGTCCAGGAGGCTGAGACAGGATTGCCATGAGTCCAGGCCAGCCTGGGCTACATAGTGAGTTCAAGGCCAGCCTGAACTACAAGATGAGACCCAGTCTCAAAACAAACAACAACAATAAAAGAAAGATGGAAGAGAGACAAAGGCATCCCTGAGGAGTAGTGGTTAGGACTCCGGTATTTAGCAGTCTGTTTGAATCTTTGATCCAGTACTTAAGAACCATGTATTCCAGCCAACTGCTTTGCAAGCACAAGGTCCTGAGTTTGATCCCACGGTACCAAAAAGAAAAAAAAAAAAAGAACCATATATTCCAATGATGAATGTCATTATATTGTATACCTTAAATATACCAATAAAATTAATTTTTAAAAAAAGAACCATGTGACCTTAGGTAACCTACTTAACCTCTATAAAATGGGATAATGGGGGTGGGGATTTAGCTCAGTGGTTCTGCCCTCCTGCCTCACAAGCACAAGGTCCCTAGTTCGCTCCCAGTACCAAAATAAATAAATAAATAAAATAAAATAAAATAAAATAAAATAAAATGGGATGATGTGGGATTTTAATGAAACAATATTCAACTTCCTGCTTGGAGCCCACCTCCCTAATCTCTTTGTTTTTGGTCACGCCAGGGACTGAACCGGGCAGCAGCCAGAGGGATGTCCATTTCAGTAACACCAAAACCTTCCTAAGGCCCCACAAGGCCCCCCCAGGCCTCCCAGGGAAAGGCACATGGGGCCACTGCCATCCTGGGCTGGGAGGGACAGGGTCAGGTTTCCAGTGACACAAGGCATGAACTGCTCAAATCACCTGCCACCATGACTGTGGTGACCTTTAACGTCACACCACAGGCCAGGGGCCAGGCAGGTGCTGGCTGCAGAACAAAGCTCAACTCTCCAAAACCCCAACTGCCCAAAACTAAGTCCTCATGGAAAAAAGGCTCAGCTGTCCCCAGAGGCCAGCAAGGCCCTGACAGACTTGAATCACCATCCAGAGAAAACTCATCCTTCCTCTGAAAGTCCCAGGTGGGCCCTGGGGTTTCCTGTCGGGGGGGGGGGGGTGAGAGTCCAAAGACCTTTCAGGTCCCCTGGGGTCTGAGAATCAGGCTTCCTCTTTCCTTCATTTCAGAAAGCACAAGAGAGGAAGGAGAGCTCAAACAGAGACACAAGCATCACCCCAGAGTCGGAGATATGGGCAAGAAATCCACAAGTCCAGATTCCCAGGCAAATGTAGAGAAATCTAGATAGACCAGGACTTTCAGCTGAAAAAAAAAGTCTTTTGCAACCTGGGCGTGGTGCCGAACGCCTGTGATCCTCGGAAGCTGAGGCAGGAGGATTGCGCCGAGTTGTAGGGCAACTTGGGCTAGTGAGCTCAAGGCCAGGCTGAACTACATAGTGAGATCCTGGCTCAAAAACAAAACAAGGCTGGGGATTTAGCTCAGTTGTGCCACCGCCTGCCTTGAAAGAGCAAGGTCTTGAGTTCCATCCCCAGTACCAAAAAAAAAAAATAGGGTCCTTTTTATTGTTACCCTTTCTAGGTGCAGCTCCCCATCCTTCCCCCACAGCCTGTGTCCTCCTTGTCACCCACCAAAGGCTTCCCACTGGTGTCTGCCACCACACCCACAGCAGGCTCCCTGCTCACCAAGCAGCTCCATAGACTTTTGCCTCAGTTTGGAGCTCTATTTAATACCAGGGCGAGGGCGCCTCCCAGCATTGCAAGAATTAAATTCAGTTCCATCAGTCAGCCCAGCCAAGATTCTGCTTAGAAGTGTTTTTGCTCCCATCTATGGCCTTGACCACCAGGTGGCTACTGTCCCTGTCCCTGACTCACCAACAGGCCACCAATGCCCAAAAGCAGCAAAATCCCTCCTCCCGCAGAGCACCCTACCTCGTCTCCCCCAGTCTCCCCTCCATTCTTTTTCTTTTTTCCGCAGTACTACAGATCAAACCCAGGGCCTTTGCAGTGAGCCACATCCCCAGTTCTTTTTTGAGACAGCATCTTGACAAACTGCCTAGGCTGTGCTTGAACTTCCAGTCTTCCTGCCTCAGCCTCCCAGAGTGCTGGCATGACAAGTGTGCACTACCACACCCAGGCACCCAGCTCAGCTTCCAAGGTGAAGAGACTTGGGTGCAAGGTGGGGGGACCCCACTGTGGAGGGGGTGATGTTCTCTGAACCCCAGTATATACCACCCCCTCAGCCTTCCACTATGAGGACACACTAATAATAATAATTCTGGCTCCATGATTTCCAAGTTGCTTAACTCCCAGTTTCAATCTCCTGGCCCTTAGAGTCCACAAAGCAAAGAACTGTGCTGAAGGCAGCAGGGCTTCCAGTCAGCCGGCCCTTGCTACACACCAGGGCTGAAATGCAGACTTCACTCCCACCTTCTCTGTCACTGTCACACCAGGGCATCTGAGACACTGAAAAGAACATAACAAATCAAAGGACTCCTCTGCGACTCTGCCTGCCAAGACATGCTAGCTAATTGCTGTTAATTGCATTAATTGCATGGCTCTGAAGTGTAAGCAGCCGCCTCCTCCTCCTGGTCTAAGGCAGGGCAAGGGAAAGGGATCACAACAAAAACAACACCCCACAACCCTCTCCTCTTTCCCGACTCCGGACCCTGAGAGCCCACTCGGTGGTTCTACGCTGGACCTGACCTCAGAGCCCAGTGGGACAAAGGGCTAAGAAGTGGCTAAGAGAGTGGAGCAAACAGTCCCCTGGGATGCGGGAGAGACCCAAGTCCTAGACCTGGAGGAGAAGGTGCCAACCCCAACACCCTGTTCCGGGCACGAAAGGGAACAGTCCTGTCTCCTTGTCCCCGGCACCCGTGTGAAATGGCAGCCTCTCTCCTGCCCAGGCTGCCTGTCAAACACCCGCACTACAGCCTCAAATGTGGAAAGACCGACACCCGAGGTGACCCCTCCCCTCCCTGCCGGCACTAGCCCGGCAAGCCAACTGCAGCCCGAGCTGCCGGGACAGCAACCTCAGGATGCTGCAGCTGAGGTGTGGGATGCGACTTCGGGCACACACCACAACCTCCTGAGAAAACAACCCGAAACGCTCCCTGAGTCCCAGGGCTTGGTCAAACCCGGGGTTTCCTGAGACGCCTCTAGTTGGCAAAGTAAGTGGCTGATGCCTCTCGAAACCTCCTATCAGGAGCGCCGCTCCGCCAGCGGCCCGGTGGCGATGCCGCTCCCCCGTGGCCTCACCCCCGTCCTCGCCCCACCCCCTCCCTGGAAGGCCCGGGCCAGGAGGGCGAGGCAGGGCGCAGCCTCTACCCGGGGGGAGGCGGCTCTGCTGTGGAGCTGACAGACGCCGCTCAAGAGGCCACATCAGCTCGGGCAGGTGGGCACCACACCAGGGCCCCCCAAGCACAGCCTGGGGTTCAAGGTGAGCGGTTCCTAAGCACAGCTTCCAGTCTGCAGCTGCGGGGCCCGAGGTGAACAGACTCGGGCGCAGGGCTGGGGGGACCCCACAGAGGAGGGAGCGATGTTCTCTGACCCCCATACCTACCACCCCCGCAGGCTTCCCCTACGAGGACACACTTGGAACTGGCCCTCGGGGGCCACAGAGCAACTTCCTGCAGCGGCCAATGCGCGGTGCAGCCTGGCGAGAGGCGGCGGGAGTGGGGAGCTCCGAGCGTGCGCCCCGGGGAGGGGCTGAGGGCTGGGAGACGCGAAGCACAGGGTCCATGCCGGCCACCAGCGCCCAGGGCCCGGCCGGAAGCACCGCAGTCCCCAGCGCCCCACCTCCTGGGCCGGGCACGGCTGGAAGGCTGGGGCGCTGCCCCGCAGGACGCAGAGTTGCGGGACCAGGTGGCCCGGCCTTACCTGCAGTTCCTGAAATTCCCCCTCCAGCTCGTGCCACTCGCGCTCGCAGCGCTCCAGCTGCCCGGACATGGTGCAGCAGTGCAAGGCGGCGGCTGCTCTCGAAGTGGGACCTGCTGGCCAGAAGCACCCCACGCCTGCGACTCGCTCGCCGGCCGCCCTATGAGGCGCCAGCTGTCCCTGCGCAGCCGGAGCCACGCGCGCAGTGACGTCACGGCCCCGCCCGGCGCCCGTCCCGCCCCGTCCCCCGCCCGGCAGGCGGGGCCGCGCATGCGCACGCAGCTCCCCGGGGCCTTCCCCGCACGCAGGGCGCGGACCAGTAAGGTGCTGGTCTGCGGGTCTCGGCGGGCTCCGTTGCTGCACCCTTGGGAGGACCTCGGCGCCTCCAAGACCCTCTCTTCTAGAGAGGCTGGGAGCTTGACGGGCAGCTCCATTTGCAGATCTCGCGGTCCTTAGATTGTGGGTTGGCGAGCGTGGAGGTGGAGAAGGCAGCTCGTGGGGAGGTGGCAGTTCCCACTGCGCGACGCCTAGGGCCGGGTCACTGCGCGCCCGGGAGTCCAGGGCAGAGCGCCAAGGTCTCACTGTCACGCTGTCCTTGTCGTTTTCTGCAGCCAGTGCCTCGTAGAGTCTTGCCCTCCAAGACTCCGGGTGACTCTTGACAGCTGTTTCTGTCCCTCGCTCCAGGACACAGTTGTCTCCAAGCCAAGCGAAGCCGGTTCCCTCCCCTGCACAGCCCTGCACGACCTGCCCAGCCTGGCGCTCCGGGCACCGCCTACCGCTCCCACTCGCGTCCTGCTCGCCAGCAGCCTTTTTAATTTTAAGACAGTGTCTTGGGCTGGAGATTTAGCTCAGTGGCACCGCGCCTGCCTCGCAAGCTCAAGGTCCCGAGTTCAATCCCTGGTACCAAAAAAAAAAAAAAGAAACTTTTACTATCAAAATATCTAAAGGATTCGATGCATTTTTGAAACTAAAATTCTAAATATCACTTGAAGAAGAATCTGAAGACACTAGACTCCAGGCTACACTAAATCCAGAGTTCACCTATGACCTGGGTTTTGAAGCTTTTCACCTAAGTTTTTGGTCCTTCATCCTGCTCCTTCCTTGCATGCTTTCTTCATTAGTAAATACAAACTATCAGTTTTTTTACACTGGACCTTCTCCAGTGTCCTATCAGATAACTGTGTAAGCGTGCATTTATAGCCTTCATACACCAACATTTTTAACCGAGACTAATGCCAAGAACCACATTTCTTTTGTTTGTTTGTTTTTGGTGCCGGGGATCGAACTCCGGTCCTTGCACTTGCGCAGCAGGCAGCGAAACCACTGAGCTAAATCCCCGGCCCCACATTTCTTGTTAAAAGTTCAGCACTAAAGATTTACAACTCCAGGGGTCTAACCTAACACGACCTGAAAAATGAACCATGTTCCAGATAGTTCTGTACATCTTAGAAGCCAAAACTGGAATTCTCATAAGGTTTTAAAAAATGTATCTAATGAAGAAAAGGCAACTGCACTTAGTACATCAACACTCTTTAAAGGATAAGTGACTGTAATTCTTTTTTTTTTTTTTTTTTTTGGTACCAGAGCTCAAATTTGGGACCTTGCACTTTCGAGGCAGGCAGCAGAACCACTGAGCTAAATCCCTGGGCCAGTGACTGTAATTCTTTCTTTTCTTTTCTTTTTGGTACTGGGCATCAAACTTGGGTCCTTGCGCTTGCACAGCAGGCGCCGAAACCACTGAGCTAAATTGCCAGCCCCCAGTAACTGTAATTCTTTTTTTTTTTTTTTTTGGTACCAGAGATCGAACTCAGGTCATCGTGCTTGCGCAGTAACTGTAATTCTTAATTGAGGCCTGAACAGGTGTGTGATCTACCCAAGAGCTAATTAATGACCACCTGTGAATTGGGTTCTTGTCTCTGACTCTTAGAAGCAAGTTCTCCCAATTAGGAAGCCTGAGGTCCCAAAGCTCATGGGTGTGCTGGGGCAGTCAGATTCCAAAGCTGTTTATTGTGCTGGAGTGTCAGACCCCGGGGTAGGGATGCTCGAGTGTACACAGGTCAGTGTTAGGCTGTGGATCCAAAGGGTCCCCAAACGCTCGCTGTGCTGAAGGCTTGGGCTTGGGGGAAGTGATTCAATGAGGGGCTCTGACTTCTTCAAGTGGATTCATAGTTCACCAGGCTGTTAGGAGGGGCCCTGGCTGAGGACACAGATCACTGGGACTGTGCCTGGGGAGTGTGTGTCTTGCCCCCACCCCCTTCCTCTCCCTTTGCTTTCTGCTGCTATGAGCTGAGCAGCTTTCCTCCACCATGTCTTCCACCATGATATTTTGAGTTGTTTTATTTGGGGGGGGGTTGCTTTTTTGAGACAGGATCTTGCTATGCAGTTTAGGCTGGACTTGAACTCACTATGTAGCCTAATCTGGTTTCAAACACAATGTGATCCTCCTGCCTCATCCTCCCAAGTACTGGAATTACAGGTATGCGCCACTACACTCAGCTTCACCATGTTTCCACCTTGCCACAGGTCTGAAAGCTACAGAGCCAGCTGACCATGAACTGAAACCCCAGAAACCATAAGCTCAAAGAATTCATTCCTCTTATGTTGTTGTTCTTAAATATTTTCTCACAGCAATTGAAAGCTAACTAATGCAGTTGGTTTCTGACTTTGGACAAGTACTTCCCAGGGTCTAATGCTGGAAAGGAGCATTCTTTCATTTATCTATTAAAAAAATACATATGCAAACCAGACATGGTGCCTCACGCCTATAATCCCAGCACTCAGGAGGCTGACGCAAGAGGAGCACCGAAGTTCAAGGGCAGCCTGGGCTACACAGTGAAACCTTGTCTCAAAAAACAAAACAAAAAGAATGCAATTAACTCATGACCAATTTTGTTTCATCTACATCCGAACCCATTTCCCTACCTCTTGTGTTATTTATTTATTTATTTATTTTTGGTACTGGGGATCGAACTCAGGTCCTTGCTCTTGCGCAGCAGGTGGTGAAACCACTGAGCTAAATCCCCAGGTTCTTGTGTTATTTTGAAGGAAACCATAGACATTGTATTCCAAAGCAGGGCCAGAGATCTAGCTCAGTGGTTTTGCCACCTGCTGTGCAAGCCCAAGGACCGGAGTTCGATCCCTGGTCCCCCCACCAAAAAAAAAGTAGTTTCTTCCTGTAAGATTCAACAAGGTATAACTGACCTGTAGTAAAATTTGCTTTTTCTGGTACACAGTTTCATGTGTGTTGACAAATAGTCATGCAATCACACACCAAAAACGGACAATTCCTAATGTTCACTAATCTTTTCACTAATCTAGTTCACTAATCTTTTCTCTTGTAATGCCTATCCTGCCATTAATCCCACCCAAACTACAAGTTTTCCTTTGGTCTTTGCCATACCTTCCATATGCCTACTTGACCTTGTCAGTATATGAAATACGGGTGCAGTAACGATGTTAAACTTCCTTGTCTGCTAATTGTAACATCTGTGTCAATTCTGGATTATTTGATTAATTTATTTTACTTTTGCTTTTCTCTTTGTTTTGTTTTGTTTTTTGGTACCAGGCATCGAACTCGGGTCCTTGTGCTTGCGAGGCAGGTGGCGGAACCACTGAGCTAAATCCCCAGCCCTCTTTGCTTTTCTCTTGAGATTGTCTTGCTTGTACCCATGCCTGGTTATTGTGGAGTTATGTCAGATTGAATTGTGAATTTTAATTTGTTAAGGGTTCCTTCTCTCCTTTTTCTTCTTTCTTCTCCTCCTCCTTCTGCTTCTCTTTTATTTCAGAATTCCGAAAACTATTTCTGTCTGTGTGTTTGCTAGGGATTGAACCCAGGACCTTAAAACAAACTTAGATTCTCAGCCCTTTTTCATTTTTTATTCAGAGACAGGCCCTTACTCTGTATTTCAGGCTGACCTTGAACTCACTATGTAGCCCAGGCTGGCCTCTAACTAGTGGTGATCCTCCTGCCTCAGCCTCCCGAGTGCTGGGATTACAGGTCTGTGCCACCCTGCCGGGCAGGGTCAATCCTTAATAAAGTTGCAATAAACGTTGATGTAAGATTTTTTGCCGGGTGTGGTAGCACACACCTATGCATCCTGGCACTGGGGCGGCAGGCCTGAGGGCTTCCCCAGCCAGGAGACTGAGGAGCGAAGGCACATGGAAGGCGCATGCGCGGCATGCCTGTCCGTGCCAGACGTGTGCGTGGGGTCTTCAAACCGCCTCGACCATTACCGTTCCTATCTGACAGCCAGGTACAGCCGCTCACCCACTGCAGTGAGGGTGTAACCCAGGCAACCCCTCAGAGGTTGAAAATATCCTAAACCCAGGCCGGCCGTAGTGCCCCACGCCTGTCATCCAGCACTCGGAGAGGAGGACCTTGTGTTTTCGAGGCAGGCTCGGTGCCACTGAGCTAAATCCCCGGCCTGGTAAATGTTGTTTTTACAGTTTATCTTTAAGACATAGGGAGGTAGGCAGCTGTGTCTCAGCAGTTTATCTTCCGGGCACAGTGACCTTCGTGGGTTTAGCAGGAGGGGCAAGCCTTAGACATCAGCCTTGAGACAGTCTCTGCCAAGCTTTGACGCTGTCAGTCTCTGCTCCATCTTTTGTTTTTTCCATTTTACAGTGAGATGATGTCTCATAAACAATCTCAAGTCCAACCACAGAAAGTCACAGATTGTCCATATTCTAGGGCATGAATTCTCCAACGTTTATTTAATGTACCTGTCTCCTGAGGAAAAATGCAGAAAATGCAGATTCCCCACCCTCACCCCCGTACCAAAAAAAACCCCAAAACCAACTAGGGCTGGGGATTTAGCTCAGTGGTACGGCCCCTGTCTTGCAAGCACAAGGCCCTGAATTCGATCCCCAGTACAAAAAAAAAAAAAGCAGGTTTTTTTTGCTTTTTCAGTACTGAGGATTGAACACAGGGGTTTTGTGCTGAGCAACATCCTCCAGTCCTTTTTTAATTTTTTATTTTGAGATGAGATCTCACTAAGTTAGAGTTGCCTAGTCTGAGCTCAAACTTGCAATCCTCCTGCCTCAGCCTCCCAGAGTGCTGGGCTTTACAGCGCTGCACCACCACACCCAGCACAATGCAGATTAGGATTCCCCAAATGCTAGGAGGCCCAAGATCCTGAATTCTGGGCCATCACATGGAATGCCAAGGCATAGCTCAAGGAAAGAGCTGGCCAGGATCACCAGCTACTAGGAGGTGTGTTACGTTTGCCATGCAAAATGCCCAGCGCCAAGTCTACGAAAAAGTGCATTTGTCTAAGGCAGAGTTAAAATCTCCCTCACCTACTTCCTACAAATGTTTTTGCTCAAAATAGTCCGGAAGAGGGCCGGGGATTTAATGCAGTGGTTCCGCTGCCTGCCTCACAAGCTCAAGGTCTCAAGTTCGATCCCCGGTACCAAAAAAAAAAAAAAATCAAAATAGTCCGGAAGACTATGATCTGCAATCCATGCAGATGTTTATAGCAGCACTTTTCAGACCCGCCACTGGGGGGCTCCACCCCGGGTTTCCACGCGCGGGGACAGTGAAGCACGCATGCTCCGTCTGTATCTTGTAACATGACGTGGCTGTTAGTGGTAATTATGGGGACTGCAGGTGCCTGGAAACATAGTAAATTATGTTTGGTAAGAAAAAAGTAGAGCCACAACCAATGCATTCGTACTGATTATGGTTATTGATCACTTGTAAAAGGTTGGGCGAATTTAATATAACAGAAATGGTCATGCCGGCTGTGGTGGTGCACGTCTGTAATCCCAGCACACAGAAGGCTGAGGCAGAAGAAGCACCGTGAGTTGGAAGCCAGGCTAGGCCACATGGCGAGACCCTGCCTTAAAAAAATAAAAAACAAACAAAAAAACATTTTTTCTGATCCACTTGAGAGTAAATTATAGATGCATCCCCCCCACCCCCCGGCCTTCACTCTCAAAAATTTTGGTGGCATTTGCTAACAATGAAGAACATTCTCCTAGTTGGCCACAATATGATCATCAAAATAAAAGTGGACCAGGGCTGGGGATTTAGCTCAGTGGTTCCACTGCCTGCCTCGCAAGCGGAAGGTTCCAAGTTTGATCCCCGGTACCAAAAAACCAAAAACAAAAATAAAAATGGACCAAAAAAGACAAAAAATAAAAATAAAACTGTCAGCGACCTGTTACTGCCCCCTGCTCTTCAGACCCTACCCTTGTTTTCTGACTATGTCAGTGATACCCGTGTAGCACAGGGGTCTTACCTTGATCTTCCAGTGCATATATAGTTGTCTCATGCCTGTAGTTTCCTGTTTGCATTGAGATATACCTCAGCCCTTTTTGTCTTTTATTTGGAGACAGGATCTCATTAAATTACTAATTTGCCCAAGCTGAGTTTAACGTGGGATCCTCCTGCCTCAGCCTCCCAGAGTGCTGGGATTCCAGGTGTGCATGAGCAGGGCCAGTCTGAGACACTTTACCAATGTAAAGATTCTGCTCTTTGAAACAGCCACCCTTTATACCCTTTAATTTATATCAGCACAAACTCATGTTTCCTACTTTGGTGGATGATTTATGATCTACTGTGACTATGGAATTTTTTTTTCTGGAGTTAGGGTCTTACTACGTAGTTCAGACTGGCCTTGAATTCCCTGTGTAGCCCAGGCTGGCCTCAAACTGACAGTGATTCTCCTGCCTCAGCCTTCTGAGTGCTGGGATCACAGGTGTGAATCACCACGCCTGGCTAGACTATGGATTTTGATACTCAAATTGTCACAAATGTGGCCACATGATCCACGTCCCCAGGCTGGCTTCTGGGCCCCATCATGCTTTGGGCATTGCCTTCCTTGTGACGTAAGAAGCTGCTTCTTGTGCAATTTGTGCTTTCCATCCCCCACCTGTGGAGTCAGCCATTCCTGCAGCAGATACTGGTTCCATTAGTGGGGAGTCATGTGGAGAAACCAGACTGTGGGTTCTGGAGGTGTGTGAGCATCAGGCCATGTCACAGGCCAGGCTGTCTCAGGGGCTGGTGAGAGACTGCATATGTGTGCATGTGTGCGTCCATGTACACATGGATGCCCGTGCATATGTGTGTTGATATGCATTTATACCTTTATAATTGTATCTGTCTACAATTTTGGGGATTTGTTTGTTTGTTTTGGTTTTGGGTTTTTGATTTTGGTTTTTTGGGACAGAGTCTCACTATATAGCCTAGGTTGGCCTCGAATGGCAATCCTCTTGCCTCAACCTCCTGAGTATTCTGATTACAGGCATGAGCCACCATGCCTGGCCTTCAAATTTTATAGATACAGCCAGATATGGTGCTGTACAACTGCAATCCCAGCAAGGCTAAGGCAGGAGGATCATCAGGAGTTCGAGGGCAGGCTGGGCTACATAGTGAGACTCTGTCTCAAAAAAAAAAAGTTAAAACCGCACCAATATCCAGTTTCAACTCACAGTACTCATTAAAGTTTCTTCCTTTTTTCTTTTCTTTCTTTCTTTCTTTCTTTTTTTTTTTTTTTTGGAGAGCGGGTCTCGAGATGTAGTTCAACCTGGCCTCAAACTCATTATGTAGCCCAGACTGGCCCTGAACTCATGGTGATCTTCGTGGATCAGCCTCCAGAATACCGGGATTACAAGCGTGCACCACCACTTCTGGCTAAACCTATTATTTTGAAGCAACAACCCCGCTGCTGAAACCAATGTCTTTCTGTGTTTTTAACTATCCCGTGCATTTGAAGAATTGCCTAACCGTTCCACAGTTCAGCCATATTTAGAAAGTTCTTTTGTCTAATGCCAGACATGGCTGGAAAATTTGGAAAATTAACAAGAAATTTTTTCCAGTGACAAGAGAATGTGGCTTTGTTTGCTTTGCTTTGGGGAGAGCTAATTAAATCTTGTATCATTCCGCCACCTGCTGGCCATGTCTTGAATTTTTCTATTTCCTCCAATAAGAGGCAAAAGGTTTATTCAACAATTTACGAACTAATACTATTTTTTCCCTTCACCTGAAAAGCTACAGCTCACAGAAGAGCCAATTAATATGACTGAGTAGGAAAAATGCTTCAGATGTATTCATGTTTAATAAGGAAAACTATTTGCTTTTTAAATCTTCAAAAATACCTGGGCGAGGGCCGGGGATTTAGCTCAGTGGTTCTGCCACCTGCCTCACAACCGTAAGGACCCAAGTTCGATCCCTGGTACCAAAAAAACCAAAAAAACTTGGCTTGGTGGACCTGCCTATAATCCCAGTACTTGGGAGGCTGAGGCAGGAGGATTGCTGGGCGTTCAAGGCCAGCTTGGGCTACATAGTGAGTTCAAGCCCAGCCTGAACTACATAGGGAGACCTTGTCTCCAAACAAAAACAATGACAAATTTTCAACAATGATATGCAGAAGAAAAGTGTATATACTTCATATGAACAGTTTAAGTCTTGATTATAAAGGAAATCTTTGCAGCTAGGACTGGGGTCAGGAATAAGCCAGTGCTATCACCCTGAGTGAAACATGCTCTTCATCCCTGATCTTAATTTTCTTCCCCCCTCCCTGAATGGTAACCAATATCCTAATTTGCCAAAAATAATTTCAATGTGCATTATTTCTATGACCAGAAAACAACTAAACTATTAATTTTTAAATTAATTGTATAAAACTTATGTGTTGGTATTTAATTTGGAAATTTCCACGGTTGTTCCTGCATGTATGTATGTATGTATGTATGTATGTATGTATGTATTTATTCTGGTGTGATTTTTTTGTTTTTGTTTTTGTTTTGGTACCGGGGATCAAACTTGGGTCCTTGTGCTTGCACAGAAGGCGAAACCATGAGCTACATCCGAAGCCTATTCTGGTGTTTTGCCGGGTGTGGTGGTGCACACATGTAATCCCAGCACTCAGGAGGCTGAGGCAGCAGGATTGCCATGAGTTTGAGGCCAGCCTGGGCTGCATAATGAGTTTCAGGCCAGCTTGGACTACGAAGCGAGGACCCTGTCTCAAAAAACAAACAAACAAAAAAATCTGATGTTTTAAGACAGGGTCCTGCTGGGTGGTTCAGGCTGGCCTGGAACTCATGGGAATGCTCCTGCTTCAGCCTCCTGAATGCTGGGATTACATGTGTGCACCATCACACCTGGCAAAACACTAGAATAGGCCGGGGATGTAGCTCAGTGATTTCACCGCCTGCTGCGCAAGCGCGAGGACCCAAGTTCAATCCCTGGTACCAAAAAAAAAAAGAAAAAAAATGGCTAAGGCCTAAAACAACAAACAATAATAGATGATATTGTGGCTGTTGAGAAACTAAATCCCTTCCATACCACTGAAGCCACTTTGAAAACAGTGTGGCAGTTCTTCAAAATATGAAACAGAGTTGCTGGGAGTTCAAGGCCAGTTTGGGCTACATTGCGAGTTCAAGGCCAACCTGAACTTCATAGGGAGAGCCTGTCTCAAAACAAAAAAATTCTGTTTCTTGTTTGTGCAAGCCTTTGAATAAAAAGCAAAGTTCATTTGATTGGTGGGTCTCCTGAAAGCTGCCAGTGGGCTGTGTGCACTCGGGAGAGAACTGCTGCTTGGAGAAAAGACAGCACTTGGAAGACTTCAGCCCGATCAGATTCAGTGTCCTGTGTTTGACAAGACGCCAAACAGCATCTGGGTGATTTTCCACATCCTTAACACGAGCCTTAGCTCAGTGTTTACAGCCCACTTTCACAAGTACCATTTCCTTTAGTCCTCATAGAACTCTGAGAGGTAAATGTGATTATTATGTTTTTGAGATGATGAAAATCAGCATCAGAGTAATCACTGCCCAGGTGAGCCAGTCCATGGCAACAAGGCAGCTTGTACTTGAAATTACTTCTTTTCATAACTTGGGGACTAGGAGCCAGAGATAGTATCTTATTGCACAGAATTTTTTTTCTTCTGTTGGTAATGGGATTGAACTCAGGGCTTTTAAACTGAGCTGTATTCCTAGCCCTTTTTAAATGTCTTATTTTGAGCCCAGCGTGGTAGTGCACACCTGTGATCCCAGCACTCAGTAGGCTGAGGCAGGAGGATCACCAGAGTTTAAGGTGAGCCTGGGCTACATAGTGAGACCTTGTCTCAAAATACAAATAGATAAATAAATAAATAAAATTTTTATTTTGAGAGTCAGATGTGGTGGGTCATGCCTGTTATCCCAGTACTTGGAAGGTGAGGCAGGAGGATTGCCACAAGTTCAGGGCCAGCCTAGGCTACATAGTGAGCTGAAGGCCAGCCTGACCTACATAGCCAGGACCTGTCTCAAACAAACAAACAAAACAAAACAAAAATTTTTATTTTAAGATGAGGTCTTGCTAAATTGCCCAATTTGAGACCCTCCTGCCTCAGCCTCTCAGACAGCTGGGATCACAGGTGTGGGCCACCACACCCAGCCAGCAATATTTTTCAAAAGCCTCATTGTAACCAGATCAGCAGAGCCCAAGATCCTGCATAGGCAGAGGGTGTTCCTCTATTCAGTTTTGAATTTGGTCATATAACTTGTTTTGGTCGACATTATCAGTGGTGCATGCCTGTAATCCCAGTTATTTGGGAGGCTGAGGCAGGAGAATCAAGTTTGAGGCCACCCTGGGCAATTTAGTGTGACCCTGTCTCAAAATTTAAAAAGAAAGCAGTTAGGGCCGGGGATTTAGCTCAGTGGTTCTGGTGCCTGCCTCACAAGCTCAAGGACCGGAGTTCGATCCCTGGTACCAAAAAAAAAAGCCCTGAGATGTAGCTCAGCCACCACCCCCATGCCCAATGCAGTAACAATAATCACCACACTCTCTGAGACCCTGTGACTTCCTGTGGCTTGGGCTTCTCACTGTGTCCTGAAACAATTCCTCCCACAAACCACAGGGTCTCCTGTGTCTACGAGGCCATAGCCCCAGTGCTAGCCTGGTACCTGGCACTTGATGCTTATTAAATGAGTGAACACTCACCATACTTGGCGTTTGCCTCTGTTCTGTTTTGGTTTTTGGTTTTTGGTTTTTTTGAGGCAGAGTCTCCCTTTGTAGTTCAGGCTGGCCCTGGACTCACCATGTAGTCCAGGCTGGCCTTGAATTTGAATCTTCCTGCCTCAGCCTCCCGAGTGCTAGGATTATAGACTTGTGCCACTAACCAGGCTGTTTCTGTTTGTTTTTGGTTTTTGGGTACCAGGAATCAAACTTGGGTCCTTGCGAGGCAGGCGGCAGAACCACTGAGCTAAATCCCTGGCCCCTGTTTCTGTTTGTTTTTGAGACAGGATTTCACTATGCTGTTCAGGCTGGCCTTGAACTCACTGTGCAGCCCAGCCTGGCTTCAAACTCACAGCGATCCTGCTGCCTCAGCCTCCCAAGAACTGGGATTCAGGGATTGCACCACCACACCCAGGTCCAGGAGCGATTTTGGCTAAGATACCTGAGAAGCACGACACTGGTCCAGAGTCCTTCGAGTGACCCGAACCCAGGTCACACCGCCCCTCCTCCTGTCCCACCACTCCCACTGCGGTGGCTTCTATCAGCATCCCGGGTCCCCACTGTCGCTCTCTCTTTTCTCTTCTGCTGTGATCTGCGTGTTTGTGTCCACAACCAGTTGAAATCCTAACCCCGAGGTGATGGTGTTGTGAAGTGAGGCCTTTGGGGAAGTAGAGGCAGGGTCAAGAGCACAATTTGTTGGGTCCAGCACAAAATGTAAGTATGTGATTACACAGGTCACACGACCAGGAAGCCAGCCCTTCGGAGAGCATTGGACTGAATCCATTTAAGTTTTCTTTTTTATTATTTTTCTGTGCCCTCTCTGAGGTCCTTACAAAGCAGTTCATTGTGTGCAGTACTGGGAATTGAACCCGAGGCTTTCGAGCTGAGCAATATCCCTCTCCCTCCCCCTTTTATTTTGAGGGTTGCACTATGTCACTAGTCCAGGCTAAGCTGGAACTTGGTTATCCTCCTGCCTCAGCCTCCCAGAGTGCTGGGAATTACAGGCAGGCGCCACCAAGCTGGGCTTCCCGCACTTTTGGATATCATCCTATTTTGGAGCCAAGACACCCTCCCAAGAAACCCTACATGGCCCTGATTCTGTCTGGGCTGGTCCTATGCCTGACTGTGCCGTCCTGCCCTTCGCACTCTGTCCAAGCAGAGGCAGAATGACAGTCACTTGCACTACCTGTGTGTTTCCTCACAAGCTGGTCTCCTAACTGCTGGCAGGTAACAGCTCATGCATACGCGTGGGACTTCAAAGCACTTGCAAACCTTGATGACTGGAACCACACATAACTCTGCAGACTTTTTTCTTTTCTGGCTCGTGTTTTAAAATTTCCCATGAACCCTTATGTTCATGTAGATGAAAATCTTTTTCCCTACCCTCTTTTCCCGCAGTACTAGAGCCCTCTGCCACCAAGCTACTTCCCCAGTACCTTTTATTCTTTGATACAGGGCCTCACTTCGTTGCCCAGGCTGAGAATGCCTCCCCACGCCTGACAGTTTTATTTAAATAATACTGTTTTCAAGCTGGGCACCTACAGGTTCAAACTGGGCACGCGCAGGGATCCAAAGTCTTGAAGTCATCTAGAAATGTATGAGGAAAAAGAACATTAAGGTGTGTGGGGTGGGGTACTTCACTGTCCCTAAAGCCTTTAACACATTTATGGGCAAAAATGATTTTGTGAAACTTTTTCAAAATCTAAAAGTAAAAGCTGGGAGATGTTGTGCATGCCTGTAATCCCAGTATTCGGGAGGCTGAGGCAGGAGAATCACCGGGAAACTGAAGGAGAAGCATAGCCGCGAGTTCGAGGCCAGCCTGGGCTACATAGTGAGTTCAAAGCTACCCTGGACTATATAGCGAGACCCTGTCTCAAAAATATAAAAACTCGAAAAGTAAGTTCTCTGCCTTCGCACTTCGATCTGTACGTTTGTAGGTTTAGT